ATACAGAGTCACCACCACCACAACCACCACTGTCAAAAAAAAAGGTGGAGTCTCCAGTTGCCTCTGGCTCAAGCAAGTCACGATCCTGTGCTCTAAGGCAGTGGTCCCCCAACCTTGGGCCTTCAGATGTTCTTGGACAACAACTCCCAGAAGCCTTCATCACCACCTCTGCTGGCTGGGATTTCTGGGAGTTGAAGTCCAAGACCATCTGGAGGCCCAAAGGTTGGGGGGGACCCCCTGCTCTAATAGAAGTGCAGGCTGATGGAAGGCCCGTCTCCTCCCAGGACCCATGGTGGGCTGTCAGGAGTGCTGAGAATTCTCGCCGTTAGATCTACGCCTTGTCTAACAGAATCCCTCTCTCATGGGTCCCCTGAGGCAGAGCAAGAAGGGACAGAGCTTCACTTTATTCTCTCCATCCCATTTTTTTCTGGATGATGTTCTGTCATATTGCTTCCAACGTATAGAAACACTGTGAAACCCTGTGAATTAACTCATATTTTCCCTTCTCTCTCAACCTATCTCTCTCTGACTTGGCCTTTGTTTTCCATTTTAAAGGTGCCTGCAAGATTCGGGGTGGATAGATACTTTTAGGAAGATGATGAAGGGAAATTTTCTGAACCTTCCGGTCTCTGAAGATTGCCTCTACTGTTTTGTTTTCACCCCAGATCTGAAGGCCAAATTACCCGTAAGCAAAAATCCTCTCCAGTTTTCACATCATATTTACCTGTTCCAAAAACAGCCAGATTGTTTTTCGAAAACGTTTGCAAATGTTAGAGAGCAGAGCCATCCTCAGGAAGGAAAGAGAAAGCCACCGTGGCCCAGTTGCTGATGGGAGTCTGGCAGCAGTGTTGTGAGCCATATTTATTTGACTGCAAAGCTCAGTTTAATGTATTACGACACTAAATAAATAAATAAATAAATAACTTAGAGCCATCCTCAGGAGGGAAAGAGAAAGCCACAGTGTTGTGAGCCATATTTATTTGACTGCAAAGCTCAGTTTAATGCACTTTATTACGACAAGCAATCACTGGTATTTAGAAGAGATGCAGTCCACAGGTATGGGAATGTTAATGCAGATACAGAGCATTTTCTGCTAATGGCAGCAATTTTCCCTTCTAATGCCTACGCCCTAGTACTGAAACTGCTGGGTTTTTTTCTGTTGATAGACAACTGGCCCTAGTACTGAAACTGCTGGTTTTTCCCCCCCTGAAAACAGAAACCAGGCATAGGCTGGTCAGATCAGAGGACAAGTCACCAGTGAACTCCATCTTACGGGCTGGGTTGGGAGGTGGGGAAGGCAACTTGTCCACAGATTCTGCACCTTGGTTGCTGCAGAGCCAGCCCTTGCTGATGGATTGAAACCCACAACTGGCCCTAGTACTGAAACTGCTGGTTTTTCCCCCCCTGAAAACAGAAACCAGGCATAGGCTGGTCAGATCAGAGGACAAGTCACCAGTGAACTCCATCTTACGGGCTGGGTTGGGAGGTGGGGAAGGCAACTTGTCCACAGATTCTGCACCTTGGTTGCTGCAGAGCCAGCCCTTGCTGATGGATTGAAACCCGAATAACGAAAGGCACCTTACTTTGCAGGGAATCCAGCTTTGCCCCTGGTGTACACACTGCTGAAGTAGAGGCTGGCTGGAAAGAGCTTTCATAAGCCATCAATGGTGCGTGAAGTGAGCAGGTCCCGCCTGGAGAAGGGGAAAGCTCAGATCATTTGGTTTTCACACGGCTTCCAGAGTCCGGCCCTAATGTCCTCAGAGAGAAGAGAGAGAGAGATGCCTCTTTGATACAAGGGCTGTTGTTGTGTAGCTGGTCGGCAGAGCAGATAGCCCAGCACCAGCCTCGGATCGAGAACCTCTCACTGCTGAAAGGGGCTCCCTAGGGCCAAACTGGCTTCTGAAATCAGAAACAGGATTTGCAGTGTTCGTGGCAGACGTGGCCCCATTCCCAGCCCCCCCCCCGTGTGAATGGCCGTCAGTGCTGGTGGCTCCTTTCGGACGGTACTGCCTGACCCCAGCTCTGCTTACCTTTCTCGAAATCATAAGATTTTACAACATGTTGTCTCATTAAACAGTAACAACTTTTTATTTTTGGTTGAGTAGCCTAATCAAGCAATTAAGCACTGTTAACTGTAAATTTGTTGTTGTTTAGTCATTTAGTCGTGCCCGACTCTTCATGTCCCCATGAACCAGAGCACGCCAGGCCCTCCTCTCTTCCACTGCCTGCCAGATTTTGGTCAAAACTATAAATACAATGTAGTATTGAATCCTGAGCAACATACGGAGCCCTTGTGTTTCACGGCTAAATGTTGAGTGTTTGAAAAAACAAATCCTCTTCCATGATAGATAGAGTTTCTAAGAGTGTACAACAAGTATGCCACCAATTCTAGGCAGGGGCCGACAGCAGCCAGCTCCGTGCTGTTAGCCGTTTGCTTTTCTTCTGTGTTTTTCCAGGTCATGGTCTGGATCCATGGAGGCGGATTGATAGTGGGGGCAGCTTCCATGTTGGATGGATCAGCTTTGTCTGCTTACGAACACGTGGTGGTGGTCATGATCCAGTACAGGCTGGGTCTCCCTGGATTCTTCAGGTGAGCAACTTTATCTTGACACTAACACCCACACCCATCTGTGCACGGTCTCCATGATCTGCCCCCCCCGCCCACTTTCAACTTTTCCTCTTGACCAAAGCTTTGCTTTGCCAAGCTGTCCATTCCCTGGCCTTGCGGGGAGATGTTCGGTTCCTCCACCCGACGCCCCTCCTGCAATGCCGGAGAAAGCTTCACAGCTCAGAGGGAATTTGTCATCGTTCGAGAGTTAGCCCAGGTGGCTGTTCGGGTGAAGATTCCCACCACCTAAGATGCGGGGAGAAGCTGTCAGGAAGAAGGGGAAGAGTAGCTCCCTGGCCTTGCCACGTTTCATTTTAGCTGAAGCATTTGCTATTCTATGGTTTTTTTAAGCATTGTACTGTAAACTATGCTGAAACATTTGACAGCA